ACAATTATTACAAGAAAAAAGAATAGATTTGATATTATCAAGAATATAAGAATATTCTTGATATTTTTGCAAATCTAAAGAATATTTATGATATTTTTCTTTTCATTTGTGATATATGAAGTAATAAGTCAAATCTATATAATTAGAGTATATATTCTTATTCTATAATATATTAAATTTTAAAAAATATATTTTTTATAACAATATTGAATAAAGAAAATGACTTAAATTAGAGCATATTAATTGTATTTATAATACTATAAAATCCTACAAATATAATAGTATATACAAAATATTATCAAAATATCATTTAAATAAAAATATGTTTTTATAAATTTAGTAGTATATATAGAAATGTGATCTAAAAAACCTATTACTTTTAGAGCAAGCTAACTATGTGATGTACACATTAAAAGTTATCTTGCAAATTAAGATATTTAACTTGCAAAATCAACACATGTTAGCGGTCTTATATAATATCACTATGTAGCTCCTTTGTGGATAGTATTTTGAAGTAAGAATGAAGCTTTCTTTACTCTTTTCAATTCCTTGCTCTAGTTTTGATTCAAGAGTCTTTAATTTTTTTATCTTTTGGAAATAGCTATTCTAGTTTTTTTTTTTTTAATATACATGTTTTTTTACTTCTATTTTGTCATATTTCTTTGAAAAAAAATTTACGTAGTTATTTTTTTTCATTGGGTTCTTATTCTTAACAATATACTATTCTCGTCACTTGATAATCATTCATTTATAATCTATTTGATAGATATCTGCTTGTATTTGAATTAATTGAAAAAAGATTGTAACTTTTTGTTAAGCAATCTTTGATAGTTTACAAGGATTCCATTCAAAAAGCCTAAAAATCACCAATTATATCTTATTCATAAAAGATAATGGATTTCAAAAATAGCTTACTAATTGGATGCAATTTTTTTGTCATCAATGTAAGTATTATAATGATGCAAGTTCTTTGAGTTACTCTTCATGTTCATTCCTTCAATCATAATCATTCAAATTTAAATCACTTTAATATTCTTCTACTAGTATCTTTAAAAATAAACCTAATTATTATTATTTTTTTCAAAAGTATTATAAATAAATATGATTCTATTAGATATAAACATCATCCTACTCGATATAAACATGATCTACTAGATATAGACTTGATTACTTCATTGGAAGCTATTGCCATATTTTACATTACTGTGGTATACATAATTCTTGAAAAAGGCATAGAATTTGATTAAGAATATACCATATCCTTCAAGGAATGGATGGTTTGTTAATCAAATATTGCTTCTCTCATCTTTGAAGGAAGATATGATTTACTTGATAAAGCAATTGATAGTCCTTATTGCTTTATTAGTTTATATGTAATTACAAAATAAAAAGAAGATAATAATATATTTCAACAAGCTTAATGGCAATTCAAAACCTCAGTTGTCATGAAATAGTCTAATTTTTTGTGATCTGTATATATAGTTATAAGTTTTCTAGTGCCTTTCAACAAGTGACACTATTCTTGGAAAAAATCTACAATCACAAAAATTTCTTTATTATAAATCTTATAAGTGATCTTTATAACTGAAAACTTTTTAGAATAGAATGCAATTGAATGGAGCTTTCCATCCTTTCATATTTATAATAGTATAGCTTCTAATCCAAAGGCACAAGCATCTATCTCTAAATAGAAGGCCTTTGTGAAACATGGATGTATTAAAATTAGAGCTATAGTAAAAGCCTCCTTTGAATCTTGAAAAATCATTTATTTTTGAAGTTTTCATTCCAATTTGTCTTTTGATGTCAATTAAGTAAAATGAGCAACAACTTTGGAATAATTCTTGATAAATATTTAATAAAAATTAATAAATCTAAGAAAATATTACATATTCTATATTTTCTTTAAATTTTATAACTTTGTTATAACTTGAACTTTCTTTGAGTCCATCAACATACCTTCATTTGATAAAATACATCCAAAAAATTCTACTTTTAGCTGATGGAATATATATTTTTCTAATTTAGCATGTAATTTTATATCTTACAACTTAAATAAGATTAATCTCATATATTCTTTATATTCTTAAATAATCTTGGATTAAATTATGATATCATCAAAATAGTAGATAATAAATTTATTGAAGAATTCTTAAAAAATATCATTTATTAAATACTAAAATATAGCTAGAGCATTTTTTAATCCAAAAGACATGAAATTATATTCAAAATGTTTATATCTTGTTCACAATACTATCTTCTATTCATCTCTTTCTTTAATCCATACTAAATGTATATTTCACAAAGATCTATTTTAGTGTAGATCTTAGCTTGATTAAGTTTCTTCAAAAGTTCTAATATTAATAGAAATGAGTAATAATTCTTCATAATTATTTTTCTGAGGTTGCAATAATCAACACACATTTGCAAAGATTCATTTTTTCTCTTCACAAAAATATTTGTACATCTATTGGAGATTAAAAATATCACATAAAATTCTTTACAAGATTTTTGTTGATATAATCCTTCAATGTCAAAAGCTTATTTTGTGATAGGTTGTAAATTGGGCCAAGTAGTGGTTTAGTTCCTTCTTAAAGATCAACAACACAATCATACTATTGATGCTTTAGTAATATGTCAACATTCTTTTTTTAAAAGACATTTTAAAAATATTCATATTATTCTAAGATAGCTACTAGCAAGCTTGCTTTTTCACAAGTTGGAGTTGCATAAATAACAAATGGTACTTTTTTTTAATAATCTTCATAAATATCTTTATTTCTTAAAATAAGGACGTTGTTGTTGATAACTTCTTCATAGGTTTTATTCAAAGAAATTCTATAAGAAATTCAATCTTATGAAATCTCCAATCTATAGATGGATTATATCTTTTTAACCACAAAAGTTCTAAAATGATAGGATTAGATGAGAATCTAATAATATTGAATATTATTTTGCTACTATGGCTCTCAAATGATATTTCTAATAATATGATCTTATAAGTAACATTACCTAAAGATAAAAATTGACCATCTATTACCTCTACATGTATAAATTTTGACTTTTGTACTAGAGAAATTTTATGAAGTTTAAAATATTCTTCATCTAAAAAGCAAGCAAATGCTCTTGAATCTATTAAGGCATTTTTTTAAAGTTTTTGTGGGTCAAGAAATAAAGATATAATAAAGTAATGAGTAGGTTAGGCAAAGAAAGAAAAACCTTGATGAATTTGAAGAATTGAAATGTCTAGCCACACGATCCCTATTGTAGCTGAGTCTCTTTATTTTTTTTGAATGATTGCTCTCTTATCCTTGGTTATAAGTTGTTTCTTTACAAAATTCTTAAATTTTTCGCCCTCTTCATTATAATACAAATATAAACCTTGTTCAAATTAATAGACTTCGCTATAAAAGATTTAAATCATATTGCATCATTTTGCATATCTTTATTTTCAGAGTATAGAAATAATATATTTTTAAAGAAAGACAATACAAATTTCTAGTACATTGCTTTATCCCAGTCTATAAGTATTGATCTTGATAACATTGAAATAATTAATTATCATACATTACAGCTTGATTCATAGCTTCATTAAGTCTTTGAGGATGAATTTGTAATAATTATAATAGGTCTTTTACATCATTTCTTAATTTTCAATAGAATTGGCTTATAAGAGCTTGTTTATTTTAATAAGTGATATAAGCCAATTTTCTAAAATCACATGCATAAATTGATGCAAAGCATGACCTTGTTACTCATTGGACCTTGTTATGTTTTCCAAATGTCTTTGTAAGTGCTTCCAAGAAAGCTTCAAAGTTACTTAAGATTAGAGATATTTTCTCTAATAAAGAAACAAACCAAGATAAGGATTGTCTTATGAGTAAGGTTCCAACTAAACTAACTTTTGACTCTTCTATTAGATAGTGCTTAGGTTGTAGAAAAGTTACAAATTGAATTTGATTAATAAACCCTTAAAAATTGGAGTGTGCACCATCAAACTTTTTGAAAGACTAATCCAAGGTTTTTTATGTTGTTGAGTAGGTGAATTTTTTTATTAAGGTAGAGGTACCATCACTTCTTTAGATGTAGAAGCTTGAAAAAGTATTTATATCATAGGTTGAACTATTATAGGTCTTACATCATTATAAAATCTTGTAAAAATCCTTCAATTTCAGTAGTTCTACAAGATAAAGCCTTTAGTATATTCATATTAATATCTAACTTAGACTCAAAAGATTCAACTATACTAACATCTTTACTTTCAGCCATTCCAAAAATTAAAAATTAAAATTCTAAGTAATATTAGTTTAAAAGAAGATGCTTTGTAACCTCTAAAATACTTAGATGCATTCAAAAAGAGGGATAATTTACTCTCAATAAAAAAATATCAAGCTTCAATATTGATAAAAGGGCAATGTTGGAATAGAGAGAATTTGCCTTAAAAAATAGTAGGCTTCTAACTATCACTAATTTCTCAATCAAATCTTAAGATAAAATAAACACCAAGTTTATATATAAAATTATCCTTATAGAGACAATTACATTAATTTATAAGTCTTAAGTACCAAAGATCATTCAAAATGTGATAAAAATATTATAAAATCTTATATATCCTTAATATAAAAGGAAAGAATAGGATATTTAGATTATTTGTGTATAGAAATATGTAGGTGGAGTCATTTTTGGAAATTTTTTAGAATTGAAGTTAAGATGGTAGTTTATGTGGGATCTACTATGGTACCTTCTAAAAAGACTTAAAGTGGTTATTATGGTTAGGTCCACCTCTAAAATCTTCTAAAAAGGCAGTTATTTTGGTAGAGCCTATCATTAGGGACATTCTAGAAAGTTCTAGGATAGTTGAACAAAGTATAAATAAGACTAACTAAGGCTATTTAGGCATTTAGTCAAGTATGGCTTTAGACTCTTTTTCTAAGTAAAATTTGATTTTCTTGTTCCATTGTATTTGTTTCTAATTGATTTTTTTTCTTCTATTCAATTTTCTCTTTTTACTTATTATTTGTTAGGCTTTGAACTATATAGTGCATGTTAAGTTTTGGGCCACTTTTTACTTATTATTTGTTAGGCTTTGAACTATATAGTGCATGTTAAGTTTTGGGCCACTTTTTACTTATTATTTGTTAGGCTTTGAACTATATAGTGCATGTTAAGTTTTGGGCCACTTTTTACTTATTATTTGTTAGGCTTTGAACTATATAGTGCATGTTAAGTTTTGGGCCACTTTTTACTTATTATTTGTTAGGCTTTGAACTATATAGTGCATGTTAAGTTTTGGGCCACTTTTTACTTGTTAAAGTGTGAAACATCTATTGGTTGATAAGCTTTGAATTAGTTTATATTTTTTAAGGTTTAAATTAGTTTCTATTTATTAATCTTTGAACTAACTACTCTTTCTTATGTTTTAAGCACATACACGAAGGCGCATACACGGAGGTGGAAGGGAAGAGAGAAAGTAAGAGAGAAAGTGTTGGGGGAGAGGTGTTTGATGGAATTAACTCCGCTGGTGGTGGTAACGAAAATGAGGATGACATGGTGATGGATGCATGCAGGTGGTGGAGGAAATAAGACAAAGAGAAAAAGGATCAGGGAATTTTTGGATAGGTGAGAATCCGGTGCATTCCCGGGCAGTTGAACCCGACGTGAATCGAACACGCAACCTTCTGATCTGGAGTCAGACGCGCTACCATTGCGCCACGGATCCCCTGATGGAGATCTCCGAAAATTTTAAAAATATAGATCCAAAACACTACTCTCTGGAATCTCGCGACACGCGAATGACATCGGAATCTCGTCGGAATGGGTCGATGGTCCCCATCGCTGACTAGATGCTGCTCATCGTCCAGCTTCCCATCGCCTTGGCCTCTTCGTCGCACCCGGTGATCGATCACTTTTCAGTCCCTGTGCTTCTGCTTCTGCCCCTGCACCTTGTGGTGTGCGTACATTGTGCACTCGTTGGATGTCTCTCGCTATTCGCGTTTATGTCGCTGCTCTGCATGCGCTCTGGTACGCATCACATCACTCGCTTTCGTCAATCCGATCATGGTCTGAGTTGGGAACAGAGATTTAGACGTTTAAGAAGTATTACTAAATGAAATGAGTTTTGAAGTGGCTCTTGAAGACTGTTTCGGCGCATGGCTGTCACACATTGAAGATTATTGAGTGTCTGGCACTCTGTCTTTCAGATTCCATTGTCAGGTCGCTAATGTCTTGTCACATTTTGTGATGAAGATGTCAAGATTATCGAGGTTATATATGTATGATGTTAATCACAAGATTACAGAGGCCACATTTCAAGGAAGTTGTAATTATTACACACTATGTTCCACAAAAGTTGTAATTATTACACACTATGTTCCACAAAAGTTGTAATTATTACACACTATGTTCCACAAAAGTTGTAATTATTACACACTATGTGCGATCCGATATGCTCAGACTGTGAGTATGGTTTGTTAGATTTTTCTTACCAAGGTGGGGGAGATTCGCTACGTATGCAGGGAGTGCACTTGGTGATATGAGGATTTCCTCTACGTCGATTGGCAGCTGACGAGTAACGGTGAATGTTCAACTGAGCCCGCTTTTATGTCTTTCTTGACAAGGTTGTAAATAGATGTAGTGCGAGGTGAAAGTACTAAGCCTGGTATGAGAGCGATTTCAGTTGATTGTTCAATGTTGCTGTCACACTATTCTGCGGAGTCCATTGTCAGGAACCAGCTATTTGGCTGTATATATAGAGCTTTCGGATGATCTTTAATTGCAATCTTCTATAACAATGGCTTACTTCAGATGCCTACGAGCCCTCTTCGTGCTCCTTATTGCGGTTTTGCTCGTTTGTCATTGCTTTGCGCAGCCTATACTTGCGAGAAACGTTGATGTCAACAAATGTTTGGTGAGATCTACTCTTCAACTGCAGCCATTGCCATGTCTTTCGACATACTTTCTGTTGCATAGAATGAGCTGTGAACGTGTACGGTTTAATAACTGAAGTGAATGTTAGCACGGTAGAATACACTACTGTTAGAAGTTCTCTCGGAACGTCTCATCTTCCTGAGTTTGAACAATTGAATATTTTGTGGATAAGCAGCTTGCAAATGTCAAACTGCTATTAAGATCTTGATTGAAGCCACTAGTTCGAATCTGCAGATGACCTCGGAAAATGCTAAGAAGACTCAGGCATGATTAGGTGATGGATTCAAGTTTGGTCATGGACGTGGCAACTGGCGCGGGCGTGGTCGCGGGCTTGCAGGTGGCGGAGGTGGTGGTGGCGGAGGTGGTGGTGGTGGTGGAAGCAATGGCGGCGGCGGCGGTGGTGGTGGAGGAGGGGGCGGAGGCTAAGAAACGCAGAATGTTCTCATGCAGTTCTCCAGTAAAGGCCATTCTCTCATAGCGAATTGTATCATTTTTAGCTCGTACTCGTACGCGTTCACCTCGGTGGTGAACTTCATGATCTAGAATGTTCATTTTAATTGATAAGGACGAATCCGTCTACCGGTTACTCTTGCTAACTTGTTGATGTCCGTTGTAATATTACGTTCGTGATTTAGTTTTGATTGGTGTCGATGAATTCTAAACTGTATAGTATGTGTGTTATTCTTCGCTTTGGCAGCTTTGGAGTGGAATTAATATTGTGAAAAGAAGTTAAGCATGAACGGTATGAGCCTTCTGATCACGGCAACGTTCGTTTGCGTACTTGCTCACAGCCAGCATATGAGTATTACACTGCATGTAACCGTCTTGGCATAAATAGAGTGCATAGTTTATGAATACTTGATGAGAAACAACTTGCTCATCAAGGTGCGCACTGCCCACTGTTTGAGTATCAAACCTTTTTATTACTTAATCCAAGGCTCGTCCAGGTTATGGCACAGCAGGAGCTTTGATTACGCTTCCCACTTTCTGAATTGATTTGGCATGAAAGACCTGGTGAGCACAATAAAGAGGGCGTTCCTTCAACTGCAAGGGAGTCATGGGCTCCTTCACTTGGAACAACAACACTGGTCAAGGATCCCACTCAACTCTAACTTTCCATCAACAACGCTTTCAACTAGGACTTGAAGCTTAAATTTTACGTCATAAAACTAAAGCATTCATAATGAGAGGAAAAATATGGACCTAAAGCACGTCAAAACCGTGATTATTACAGTTTGTAGTTAGTTGAGAATTGTGCATATGATTTGCCATGGAGGATAAGATACAAATAGTTTCACAAAAGTTAATTAAATTCCAAACAGTATGACAAATAAAGAACATAAAAACTTGTAAAAAATAAATATTCTAATGTTCAGTACTAGATCAATCGAGTTTAGACATTCAGTTATCTTATCCTTAGACACCAGATGTCAACGACACTGGATGCCTTCCATCATAGCTTTGCTTCTTCGTAAGTCATCGAGATAGCCACGTGTCGGCCGTAGTTACCTTTCAATGCCCTTTCTGCTTCCAGCTGCTCGGGAATTCCAAGTTCAGCGCTGCATTTTCTCTGTTGCCGTTCACGTAGGAGATCGAGACCAGGTGATGGCTTTCCAGATTGGCTCATTGCAGGGTAAGATCAGATTTGCAGATGCCATTCCAATGTTGGAAACTCCTCGTGAAGTATCTTTTCACAGTTCTGGCAACCCTTCGCGAGCAGTAAAACTTTCTATTTAGAACTACAAGTTTCCTTCGTGTTCGGTCAATGCTTTCACAAATGGCACATGCCAGTTGTCTGTGGTCGCTGTATACGTGGATAGCGATGCCAGTCGACGCTGGTAAATTTCTACTTCAATCTACAGCATCTACATCTGCACAAGTGCTGCCACGGCGAGA